TTTTGGTCATGTTGTAAGAAGGGACCATTCCCTGGAGAAGGATGTCATGCTTGGTAGGGTGGAGGGTCGACGAAAGAGGGGGAGGCCTTCAAAGAGATGGATTGATACGGTGGCTGCGATGATGGGCTCAAGTATAGCAGGGATTGTGGGGCTGGCGCGGGATCGGGCACTGTTTCATTCTGCTGTGCATGGGGTCGCTATGAGTTGGAAACAACTCGACGGCACTTAACAACAACAACAACAGGTTAGTAGTGGAGTGCAAACCATTTGTGCCACCCTTGGGCCTTTAGTATTCTATATTTGTTGTTGTTATGTGCCACTGAGTCAGACCTACCTGACTCATAGGTTCCCCTCCTTGTGTTTCCGAGGCAGTATCATTACAGAAGTAGATTGCCCAACCTTCCTTCTGAGGAGTGACTGGTGAGTTTGAACTGCCAGCCTTCTGGTTAGCAGTCAAGTGCCTTAGGCACTATGCTACCAGAGCTCCTAGTATTCTATATATCCATCATCAATTCATCATTTATTCCTTAAACTCTCCATTAGAAGTGTAAATTTTCTTTCAGTATGGTCAATACTATCTTTTTTGGAGTCCTCCTATCCTGTAGCCCCAGTCTGGACTGCTGCCCAGTTATCATCTTGGTACTTCCCTTTATGATTTTCTTTGAGATTCCCTTCTGTGTTGTACACCCTTTTCCTGAGCCCTAGGTTTTCCTATTAATTTTGGTGAAGTATATTATCATATGGCTTCCTGAGAAAATATGCATGAGAGGTAGCATTTTTGCTGCTTTGCATATTTGAAAATGTTTTAATTCTCACTCACATTTGGTTGATAGTTTGTGTATGGGTCGAATTCTAGGTTGGAATTTATTTTCCATCAGCATCTTGAAGTCACTACTCCATTTTCTTTGAGATTTCAGTGTTGTTGAAAAGTTCTGTCACTTTGATTTCTGCATGTGTTAGTTATCTATTGTTGCTAACAAATTACCCTGAAGCCTAATGGCTCAAAACAACAAACATTTATCTCACAGTTTCTGTCAGTCAGGAATCACGTGTGACTTTGCTAGGTGCCTCTGACTCAGAGTCTTTCATGAGGCTGTAATCAAGGTATGAGCTGCAGTATCATCTCAAGGTTTGACTGGAGATGATCTGCATCGAGACTGTGACTCTTGATAGGCCTCAGGTCTTCACTGGCTGTTATCTGGAGACATTATTAATTCTTTGCCGTGTGGGGCCTCTCTGAAGGGCTACTAGTGACATGGCAGCAACGGCTCTGAGAGAAAGCCCAGAGAGTATTTGTGACCCAGCAAAGCTTAGAAAAAATTCTCTAACTGAATTTTGGAGGTGATTTGGCAAAAAGAAAAAGAAAAGCATCTAACAAAGTGCTTCTCCATTATTTCTTTTTCTACCACTATGCTACTCTGGCTCGGAAGGAAGGTTGGGCAATCTACTTCTGTAGTGATACCACCTCCGAAACCCAAGGAGGGGTTGCTATGAGTTGGGTGTGACTCGAGGGCACATAATGACAACAACAACATGATACCCTGGTAGCTCCTAGTTCTAGAGCTGAACGTGACCTAGGATTTCTTTTTGCCCTGTCTAACTTACCACTTTCATTTGTCTGTTGGTTTGCCCATGAAGTGATTTGGGTATTTACTGAGAACCTGTCTACATGCTAGACAATAGCTAGAACTCACGTTGATACGCAGTGTGCTGCTGTCAGTATCCACCACTCATTGATGAGGGAACCTCCACAGATGTGGGACTGGCCCAAACGTAGGCTGACCTGCCAAGGCCAGTATCCCTTAGCAGCATCCTGGCCACCCACAATGCGGCTTGTGTACGTAGGTCGCCCACATACTAGACAAAGAGGAGAAAGGGAAATGTGGAGATCTGGGAGTTCTTTTCCTCTAGTCTTATCTTTCCAAAATAAAAACTTATTGCTGTCTAATACATTCCAACTCCTGGCAACTTTATGTGTTACTATACAGAGTAGAACTGCTCCATAGGGTTTTTGTGTCTATAATCTTTATGGAAGCAGATAGCCAGTCCTTTCTTCTGTGCTACTGCTGGTAGCACAGAAATCAGGTTGTTGGTAGTCAGGTGCAAACTGTTTGTGCTACCCTGGGACCTCCCATCTTCCCATCATCCCCAAACTCCTATCCATTCCCAGAACCTGAGTTCTAGCCTCCATACCACATCCTATTCTAATTTAAACTCAGAAGTCCTGGGCCCAAGTTGAGACCACTCACCAGATTGCAGATTTTCCTCTTTGAGAGAAGAGTGCTTTGGGCAAGACCCTAAGAAAGACATGCAGGGTGGTTAATACACAATAACATACTATATCTACATTCATTGAACAGTGAGGCTTTCCATGTGTTTAAATTCCTCAGATTGGTGCCAAAGGCTAAATTTTTACAAATGTCAACCTAATAGTGGGAATCTTGATAATTACATACTTACCCACTTCTTTAGCAACATGCATGGAACGTGGTTTAATTATTAACTTGGTCATTATCAGGAGTACTGGGTATGTTAAATTGTTTATGATGCCCTCAGATGCTTTTGAGGTCCATAAGCTGTTTACCTTTGTGCTTTTTCTTTAGCTGAATTGACATTTCGCAATATTTGTATATTCTATCTCTTTGCTAGTTGTTAGTGTTTTTGTTACTCTCAATCTATTCTGCTTTTAAATCACTGTTGGCAAGAAAAGTAATGACCACGCTTATGTCTGAAAGCGTTGAATTGAGCTTGCACTTTCGGCTCTCTCTTCCTGGAATGCTCTTTCCCTAAATCCTCTTAGCTAACTCACTCATCTCCTCAAGTCTTTACTCAAGTGACTTTAGTGAGGGCTTCCTTAACTATTCTATTTAAAATTACAACATGTCCCCTGCCTCTGTACTCTAGATGTTCCTTTCTTTTCATAGTATTTATCACTTCCTAACATGTTTTAGGAGCTCTGGTAGCATAGTGGCTAAGACACTTGCCTGCTAACCAGAAGGCTGGCGGTTCAAACCCACCAGCCACTCCTCGAATGGAAGATTGGGCAATCTACTTCTGTAGAGATACTGCCTCGGAAACCCAAGGAGGGGTCGCTATGAGTCAAATCGACTCCACAACAGTGAATTTGTTTTTTTGTTTTTATATTCATAAGTAATAACCCCAGCAGTGAATTGTCATGTTATTCTACATAATGCTTTTTTTTTTTTAACTTTCACTGTGGTGAAATATATGTAACAAAACATTTCAAACATTTTTATGTGTAAAATTCAGTAACATTAATTACATTCACTATGTTGTGCAACGCTTACCAGTATCCATTTCCAAATTCTTCCATCACTTTTAACAAAAACTCTGTACCCCTTAAGCAATACCCCACCCCACCCCCATTTCCTCCTTCTATATATCCTAGTAACTACTAGTGAACTCTGGTCTCTAAGCATGTGTTTGGTTTGGGTATTTCATATAAGTCAAACCAAAAAAACAAACTTACTGCTGTCGAGTAGGTTCTGATTCATAGTGACCCCTCCTTGGGTTTCCAAGGCAATATCATGACAGAAGTACATTGCCCAATCTTCCTTCCAAGGAGTGGCTGGTGGGTTTGAACCATCAGCCTTCTGGTTAGCAGTCACTATGCCACCAAAGCTCCCTTTCATATAAGTTGTTGTTGTTGTTGTTATGTGCCGTTGAGTCGGACCCCTCCTTGAAACCAAGGCAGTATCACTATGGAAGTAGATTGCCCAACCTTCCTTCCGAGGAGTGACTGGTGGGTTTGAACCTCCAGCTTTCTGGTTGGCAGTCAAATGCCTTAGGCACTACACCACCAGAGCTCCCTACCACATCTTATTTATACATGATGCCTTGTTAAGCCAGAAATCTCTGCCTCTCCCCACCTTACCCCATGGGCTACCTGAAATCCCCAGCAGAAGGAACAGGAGGAAGGCATGCACAGCAGGGCCCATATCTCTGTCTTCTAGATCCTGCTTCCTGGATTCAGGCTTTAGGGAGGAGTTAGGACCTGCAGGAGAAGGGTGCAGGACTGGATTCTCCTAGATGAATTCCTATGCTTCACCCCCTTCTCTTCTTCAGCCTTCACTCCTTCGCCAGATACTGAGGGACTAGACTTCAGAAGTGCTGCCTGCTACAGAGGGAGGTGCAAGGGCCTGAGGTGCCCCCTGCTGTCTTGGAAGAGCAGGATGTCTGAGTGTCTGCCTGTGGATTGGGGGATGGGCAATGGCACCTCCTGCCTAGGACAAGAGTAAGAAGGTGCTGGAAGGACCAGGGCCCTGTCTGTAACAGGAAGACCAAAGATGCTCAGGATTCTTCCAGAGCAAGAGATGGAAAAGAGGAAAGAAACCTAGTATTTGCCTATTTTTACCAAATTTCTTTGTTTTCAACTTGGTTATAGTGTTAGCCAAGGAGTATATTGCAAGCCAGGTTTCCTGAGAAATAGACCCTAAGGCAGAGGTATGTGTACAGGAAGTTTATTGGGGAATGGTCAGTGGTCTCAGGACCAGCACCTTTGAGAGAAAGATGGGAAAGCAGGGTTAGGCAGGAGAACTTGAACTGCAGTACATTTGTAACAGAGGCCTCAGCCAATACCACAGGTTGCCCTGGAGCTCGGGTGGCCCTTCAGAGATATCCTGAATTGTTGCAAGAAGACAGGCCCTTGGACCTGTTCATAGTCCATAGGCGTTACCTTGGGTGGGGTGGCTTTGCTGGTAGTGGAATTTAGCTGTGAGCTGTCAGCAGCCAATACTCCTACCTACTAAGGGATTGAGTGCTTCAGTTCCAAGAGGGGTCTGCGTGGCACCCCATAGCATCCTTTACAGAATCCTTCTCTGTGCCTCTTATGTTTTCTGTACCAATTGTTTGTATGGTACTAGGCCTGGCACTTGACTGCTAACCAGAAGGCTGGTGGTTCAAATCCACCAGCCACTCCTGGGAAGGAAGACTGGGCAATCTACTTCCGTAGTGATACTGCCTCAGAAACACAAGGAGGGGTTGCTATGAATTGGGTCCAACTCAATGGCAAATAACAACAACAACAACAACAGGCCTGAGGAGAAGGAGCCCTGATAGAGCTACAGTTAAGCACTTGCTCTTTAGTTTAAAGGTTGGTGGTTCAAACCCACCCAGAGGATCTATGGGAGAAAGACCTGGCAATCTGCTTAGAAAACTTTATAGGGCAATTCTCTGTCACATGGGATTGCTTTGAGCCAGAATCAGTTCAGTGGCATTGAGCAATAACAGGCTGTGGTTGTAGAATTTCATTAACTATTAAAGCATGTTACCATTCTCTTGTAGCTTAAAACATTGAGGGGCTTGAAAGAAACATGTGAATAATTAAAAAATAATAGCAGACCAGAAAACATAGTCATTTGGGTAAAGTTTATTCAGTTGTAAGCAGCAGAGACCCAGTCAAGTTAGTTTGAACAGATAGGAGATTATTTTAAAGATACTTATGGAATAGTAAGGAGCTCTGGTGGCGTAGTGCCTAAGGCATTTCACTGCTAACCAGAAGAGTGGCAGTTCAAATCCACCAGCCATTCCACAGAAGGAAGACTGGGCAAGCTACTTCCTTAAAGATTTACCACCTTGGAAACCCAAAAAGGGTTGCTATGAGTTGGAATCGAAACAATGGCAGTGAGTTTGGTTTTTGTTTTTTATGGAATTAGTTGGAGTGCCTGGGCAATACAAATTGTTAATGCCCTCAGCTACTAACCAAAACATTGGAGGTTAAAGTTCACCCAGAGGAGTGTAAGAAGAAAGGCCTGGCAATCTACTTCCCAAAAAATAAGCATCGATAACCATATGGAGCACAGTTCTATTCTGGCACACATGGAGTTACCATGAGTCCAGATCAACTCAATGGCAACTAGTTTGGTGGAACAATAAAGAAGGAACACAGAGTAACAAGGACATTTGGAGCTGTCAAGGTCAAACCTAGAGACCAGAGTTGCAAGGGAGCACTGGATTCATGATGGCTCATGATGGATTCACTCTGGTCCTCTGCTGTTAGTATGGCTCAAGCACATTCATGTCTTTTCCTTCATTCCTACTACTAACTGTCCCAGTTTTTTCTTATTTTCAGTTCAAATTCCTAAGAAGTCTTTATTTGGTACAGAATGACTTTTCTTGCTGTGTTAGAGTTCTCTAGAGAAACAAAATCTAGAAAGCTTTTATAAAAGAGAGAAAGGGAAATTTATCTTAGGAAAATGGCTCACACACTTACAGAAGCTGGCAAATCCCAAGTTCTTGGATCAAACATCAAGCTGGCTGCTTTTCCCCACTCATGCAGCTACCGGGGCTGAGGAGCTCAAGGTTGGCAGACAGTATACTGGCTGTTGAGTCCAACAAATGACGAATCCAAGATCTCCAGACCGAATGGTGAATTGTTCACTCACGGACAGTTGTAGGCAGCACAACAGAATCCCGATCCATAGAAGAGTTTCTCTTTTCCCAGGGTGTCCATAAATATACTGGAAGCAGGCCACACCCTGAGGGAAACTCCCTTTGAATGGATTGGCTGCTCAAAACATATACATCTGATCCCATCATTGGAACAACTCACATCACAGTAGCTTAAACCACACAGAATTGTGGTCCAGCCAAGTTGACACACAGCTCCAACTATCACACTTGCCAACATGTAGGTTCATGTTGATGAAAGATCAATTAATATGATCACTAGTAGATTAATGATCTTTAGGTTAAATGTCCATATGTGTGGAAGCAGGAAGATGAGGATGCAAAAATACAGCCAGCTATGCATCAGGGAAGGAGCCCTGTTGGTGCAGTGGTTAAGTGCTTGGCTGCTAACTGAAAGGTCAGCAGTTTGAATCCACCAGCAGCTCCAGGGCAGAAAAGACCTGGCAATCTGCTGCTCCAAAGATTACAGCCTAGGAAGTGCTATAAAAAAACAAAAAAATAAACTCATTGCCTTTGAGTCATACCTGACTCATAGCGACCCCCATTGGGTTTCCAAGGCTATAAATCTTTATGGAAGTAGATTGTCCCGTCTCCCTTCTGCGGAGCAGCTGGTGTGTTTAAGCTACTGACCTTCCAATTAGCAGTCAAGTGCCTTATACACTACACCACCAGCGCTCCCTAGGAAACCCTATGGGACAGTACTATTCGGAATCGACTCGACAAGTAGCAGGGTCTGTGTGGCCAGGGCAGGCACCAGATTTGCTGTTATCTAGTATAGTAGCATAAGGATGTTTATCTCTTTAAATACATTAAAATTTTAAACGTCAATGCTTGGAGGGAAAAAAAATCAATTCTCCATTTACTTGTTTACTGACTGTCATACTATGAATTTTTATCTTGGTTATGTTTTTCAGATCCACTTGTCTTCATTTGTGTCTGCTTGACTGGGATTAAAATCTCCTACTACTATTGCATTCATGTTAGTTTCTCCCTCCATTTTTAATGGCTCTTGTTTTATGTATCCTATTTGTATATTTTTGTGGCTTACTCATTTGCTCTTGTTATGTTTCTGTCACTAACTATGCTTTTTTTTTTAAAAAAAAATCATTATATAATGACTCTTAGTACTTCTCGCTTTAATTCTTTCTGAAATTAATATTACAACCTGTGATTTTCTCCTCATTTAATTAAGGGAAATGATTTCTTATTCATATCACAACCATCCATGTGGGTATTCCAATTAATTTATGGTATTCACAGGCAATTTAACTATTTAGTTAACTTAAGTGTTTTTTTTTTTAAAAAAAAAAATTCCTGCAGTGGAGTCTATTCCAGCTCGTAGCAACCCCTTCTTGGGTTTCCAAGGAAGTATCTCTACAGAAGTAGATTGCCCAGTCTTCCTTCCGAGGAGTGGCTGATGGGTTTGAACTGCCAGCCTTCTGGTTAGCAATCAAGTATAGCTTTTTAGAAAATCAGACCCCTGTTAGAGATTTGCCTTTAAGTCAAGTGTGTAGTATAATTATCATATTAGTGATTTTGCAAAGACACCAAGGCTTTGTACAGACCTTTCTGTTGACTTAGCACAGGAACAAAAATTTGACAAGATACTCCTTTCCTTCTAAGGATTCTGTGGTTGTCCCAGGTCTTTAGACTGTATGCTCCTGAACAAATCTGAAATCACTGATTTATACCCTTTAAATGTAACCTTTGTTATTAGTTGGATTGCTGACAGAATTCCTTCTTCTCTCTTTTCTTTATCTGAAAACATATATTGATTTTGGTCTCTGTTAAGTGTAGGTAGAAATGAACTCTACTGGAAGCAGCTAAGGCACCTGCTTCTTACTCTGAAAATCAGCAAGTGAAAGGAAAGAATTAAAGGATTATCTTGCTTTTCTTGCACAAACTGTATTTCAGAGTACCATAATAAAATAGGCTTAGTTGATAGGAGAATTCCAACTAATAAATGTAAATGGACGATATAATAAGAAAATCACAATTTGCAGCCCCTAATGAAATCATTAGGTGCTCTGGTAGCGTAGTGCCTAAGGCACTTGACTGCTAACCAGAAGGCTGGCGGTTCAAACCCACCAGCCACTCCTTGGAAGGAAGGTTGGGCAATCTACTTCCGTAGTAATACCGCCTCAGAAACCCAAGGATGGGTCGCTATGAGTCAGGTCCGACTCAATGGCACATAACAACAACAACAATGAAATCATTTGAAATCATTGATTCAGGGAATGATAATCAATAGTTGAAAACCTTAGATGAAAAGTTCCTGGAGGGATCAGAGTGTTACCATCTGAACCCTGTGAACAATCTTAGCATCTCTGAAAGTGGAACAAGCCAGATGTTATATGCCTCCTGATGTGACATAGCATGAAGCCCACAGTACGTACTTCCAACTCTTTTTGTCAAAAATAGTTCAGCCTGAATCTTTAGGGCAAATTTCCATTTATAGAAAATACAGGGGATAGAGAAATAAATTACAATAGAAAGAAACAAATAGTCAAATTCAGACTGTGGGACATTT